GTATAAGGTTTGCAAGTCAAATATCATCAATGTGTGATACACTTTCTTAAATATTTTTTTAAATTTTTTTGGGTAGAAAAGTGGAGAATAGAGGCCCCTATGCATATTAGAAGTAGGTAGAGATTTTTGAATACCGATGTTGGAATAGAAACTTAAGATGGGTAGCTACGCTCAGGTGGTTGCTACCACTACGACTTTGATCCCGTTCTCAATGTGATGCACTTTGATCACATTGGCGTTTTTTTTGTTTTGTTTGGTGGCAAGTGGAGCACATAAATTCATAGAATAAAAAAACAAAACAATTAGTTCTCTGTATTTGAATCATCTTAGAATAAAAAAACAAAACAATTAGTTTTCTGTATTTGAATCAGATTTAATTTGAACCATAGGCCTATTATTTTTCACCATTATTTGTTACCCCTTATGAATCTGATGCTATATGGATCCATGAAACAATTTGGATTTAATGGTTCCGTCCTCTCTTTAAAATTTCCAAAGAAATTTATTTACATGGAGCCAAACAGGCCTTTGAAAGAATAAGGCACACTTCTATAACTAACTAATGTTTACATCTAATTTTATCACTATTCAAATCCAAATCCAAAACTCCCACAAACGTCTCTCTCTCTCTCTCTCTCTCTCTCTCTCTCCTTGTGCCTACATTGGCTGTGTTATCGTGCCTACATAGGTTTTGTTATCATGCCTTCAAAGAATTTTAACATCATATAAGGCCAGTAGAATTCCTCAAACACTCGGCATATTAGGTTCGCATGAAAATATTTTCTAGAAAATATTTTTGAATGAAAAAATTCTCATGTCGTTAGGTATGAGAATATTTTATCTCAATTAATTGTCAATTAGTGTGAAAAGATACACTAAAACTAATTGGTATGAAAACATTCCCCACACTTGACCGCATGGAATACGAGCAGATAAAAAGTTAGGGTCACAATGATAGCATTCCGAATACCTTGGTTTCACGTTGTGGTTTTTATTCTCACTTACCACTTCAAAAATTGAGAACCATTTCAAAAACAAGTGGGATCTGTATTCCCTCTTAATTACCCAAAAAAAAAAAAAAAAAAAGAGAACAGGAGGTGTATCTCTTTGGCATAGAAAAACATTTTTTCTTTGCTTTCTAATTAAGACTCAGCTTATTCACTTAGGTCTAGATTGGGCAAACTATTTGTTAGTGATAATCCCATCTCCCCTGATTCATTGATCAATGATAAGGGCATCGGTAAATACTGTTCCCCTATCCTTGGAAATGTTGGAAAACGTTACCTCATTTCTTTTCAAAAGAAATACCAATCGCCCATTCATTACATTAATTCCCTATGTTTGAAGAGGAATAAGAGTGCATTCATATTCGGACTTAATTAACAAAAGAGCATACGTACTATGCTCCCGAGGGAGTATACTGACTTGCTTCGTAGGATTTTATCTATTTGAAATTTTAGAATCCATCTAAACATTACCAGAGGACTATTTTTAAGAAAACCAATTTGGATTTTGAGTGAAATTTTAGAATCCATCTAAACATTACTAAAGGACTATTTTTAAGAAAACCAATTTGGATTTTGAGTTTTCCACATGATTTCACCCTCCAAAATATTCAACGGTCTCTGATCAATCTTGGGACATTAATTTTATTATACACATTGATATTTGATTATGTTTTTTTTAAGGGAAAAGTTTGTATAGTGCCGAGGCTCTAAACAATCAAATTTGAGGCTACATAAAAATTTTACTAAAAAAAAGCTGTTTTTATGCCCAAATATCATCAAATTGATCATCTCAACATCAAGATGCACAAACATGAAAAAATAATGGATTTCATGATTTGAAAATAGTGTATTTTGTAACACATTTTTGTACGGTCAATTTTCAAGATTTTCAAGTTCTCATAGATCCATTGATCTACACTATTTTTGAAGCTTTAAATTTTATAAATAAAGATGAAAATATATTTAAAAGCTATCACAAAGATTTTCAGTATTGAAACCACATTTCTCTACACTATTTGAAGGTAGCTCTAATTTGATTGTTTAGAGCGTTGCCTCTGTACAAACCGCACCCTTTTTAAAATGTTAGTTTGTGAGTTGAAACAGGCAGTCAAATATTTTACAGAGTTTTGCTACCACCGCCACCATGTGCATGAGAGAGAGAGAGGCTTCATTCACAAAAGTTGGAAGAAAATAAATAATCCAAGCTTTTGGGAATTACTCGAATGAAAATTCTTCACTTATCAAATCACTCAAAATGCAGTTTATTTTTAACTTAACGTCTTTTTCTTTTTTTTTGTCATTCAAAAGGGATGTCGAACCTCTAACCAATTTTTAAATTGTTAGTAGTTTTTGAAAACGTTAATGGAAGCCTAGACCTTAACTGGGGCATAGGTAGTGCTACGACCCCGACGCCGACCCCGATCTCATTTCCACATGACCTTTTCAAAGGAAACTTGCACAACCGCTTCGGATTTTCTAGGTGCATTCCATGTGTAACCATCCAAAAAATGTATAAATTTGTCACAGGTTCCAACACACATTTGCTCAGCTATATGAGATAATGAGACCTAATCAACACTGACTGCACAACCTATCTATCCCATACTAGTTGGGAAAAATGCTACAAATATGAAAGGAAAACGTTCATGAGGTTGACATCTCAAAATGTAAAATTAAGGTGCACCTCTAAAATCCTTTGAAAATGGTTGTTTTGATGTACTTACTAAAAAAAATGGTTGTTTTGATGTTGAAAAACATCTAATTAATCATCTTAACATCAAAATATATAAATATAGAGAAAAAAAATGAGATTTCAAATCCTAAAAGTAGTACATCTTGCAACACATTATTTGGACCATCCATTTTCAAGATTTTCATGCGTTCATAGATCTATTTGATTTAAAGGTAAAATTTTATAATAGTGATAAAAATAGATTGTCACACCATCCTAAGGATTTTTGGTCTAAAAAAAGTATCTCATGACAAAGTTTGGAGGTGCTACTTAATTTGATTGCCTAAGGTTGCAACCTTATGCAAACTACACCCACTAACACCCCTCGCCCGGTTTACCCTCGTTCTCTAGGTTCAGGGTTGACTGGATATATAAGGTTCTTAGAGAAACATCAAGAAGCTAAACTTTGAGAGCTACTTGAGTAATCTATAATGGTAAAGTATATTATAATCCAATGAACATGATGGCATATACGGCTCGAAAGAGGCATCCACTGTCGGTTCTGAATGGATAGTAAATAGATGGAGGGGATTAACTATACCTGGGTGAATATCCCAATGGATCGAACTATGAATAATCGCCCCCATTCATTATCAAGAATGGATGGTAGATGCCCTATTGAAACACTACATACAATACCGCCACGATCTCTGTTAAGCTCAATTCACAAAAGGGAATACCAACCGACGTGTCTTCATTCTTTTAGCCTGATATAAGCTCCTGATTTTGTAATGCTTCTATTGAGTAATCTATGATGGTAAAGTATATTATAACCCAATGAACATGATGGCATATACGGCTCGAAAGAGGCATCCACTATCAGTTCTGAATGGATAGTAAATAGATGGAGGGGATTAACTATACCTGGGTGAATATCCCAATGGATCGAACTATGAATAATCGCCCCCATTCATCATCAAGAATGGATGGTAGATGCCCTATTGAAACACTACATACAATACCCCCACGATCTCTGGTAAGCTCAATTCACAAAAGGGAATACCAACCGACATGTCTTCATTCTTTTGGCCTGATATAAGCTCCAGATTTTGTAATGCTTCTATTGTTTGATCACTTGGCTCCATATAAAAACTAAACAACATATTGGAAGCAGGACTCATTTCGTTCATCATCTCTCTTCCTCCTGAAGATTTCACTTTCTGAAAGTCCAAAACTACTTCCATAGAATACTGAACATAAAGCAGTATGAAGTGCATGTAAAAAACACTAATGTGGATTTTATCAAATAAAATAAATCTCCAGCATGGACAAATCTATTTGACACAGCCATGGACACCAGGCTATTGTGGTTTTTTCAAGAATTCATCGTCTGAAGGACTCCAATCTACATGTCAGTCAGTACCTTTGGCTAGCAATGGAGGAGACATCAATACTTCATAGTCTCATCTCCCTCTAAATGCAGATCATTCCAAAATTAATAAATTCCTTCATCACATGACTCCTTTGAAACTTGTATCCTCCATCTTTTCATTGCCATGACATATACATAATCCCCAAATCTTCTTGTGCTGCCAAAGTCAACCTCCTAACCTTCATCTACACGATAAAGCAACATGGACCATGAAGTTCCTATCTTACAACTTATGGAATACCAGAAAGGAGAAAACCATGTATCAACAAGCAAAATAAGTTATGCACAATCTGAGAGTAATTGTAAAGAATCCCTTCCATCTTCCCACCATATTGAATCATGGGTTCTGAGCTGTTCTTCCCCCCTTCGTTTGGCAAGATCACTCCAAATCCAAACATGGCAATTGAAGAGGAAAGAGTCATCAAGTTCGGGATTTAGAGCTACATCTATTTGACAAACCATGACGCTGGAAAAGTTACGAACTTGATAAGAGATTCATCACTATGAGACCAATTTATCTTTGTTATAAGGATGTCACCATTACTTCTATCCATTAGATGTTAAATTAGGTTGCTAAGAGTGTGTTAGGAAGTTCGTAGTTTTTTTTTTTTTTTTTTGAATGTTGAGTCCCTCTTACAACCACCGGACTTGAGTGTTTGTGACCTCCTTGTGCCGAAAGTAAACGGTCTCTTTGTATACTTTTTCCCAACATAATCCTCCCTTAAATAGTAGAGAAAACCGAACTCATATCCCTCGTCAACTAGTGGTTTTTTATCAAGTGGAACAGCAGACCATGCAAGATAGTAAAAAAAAATTAACATTTATTATTTTGTCTAGTTTTGGTATTGTCATTGCTTAGTTAAAACATAAAAGGTTTAGAAGACCAACAAACATCCTGATGGTTGTGCTTCTCAATACATTAGATAGAAAATTACTTTAGAATAGTGAATGTATTACAACAGATGTAAGATTTGATAACTAATGCTGAGAAAAAGCTCAGTAACAATGTAGTACTTGCACCAAGGTAAAATATTCACTTCAATGTTACAGCAAAGTGCCGATAAAGTTTCAACAATTGTCCGCCAAATGCATAACCACAAACTATTTTCATATATTTTACAGCTAAACTTTGTCTTTTCTCATAAGCAAGAAACTTTGACCGCTCTGACCAAACTAGTACCTCCACCAGTTCGATGGCTAACATTGGCGGAGATAAGGATCTAATACGTTTCAATGAGGATGATGAGGAAAATGGTAGTGAACTAGATGAAGGAAAGGAGTGAGGAGGTGAGGATGAAGATCACGCATGACTTAATTTATGTGTTTTGTCATTTGTGTCATGGAATTCTTTTAAAGGCCACGTTTTGTAAGTATGGATTGCTTGGTTTGTGTCTTTGTGAGAGTGGGAGTGTGAGCCATTTATGTTGTGGGGCTTTGTATGGATATGGGGTACACTTTACCAATAAGCCTACTTAATGCGCTTAAAATTCAATGTTTAATTGTTATTACTTAATGAGTTAAGGCCTTACTAGAGTACTTTATGTACTATATATGTCGTTATTTTGTAATGTTGGCTTCTAATCTTGTTTATTTATGGTTTTATAATTGGTTTGATAAGATTTTATTATTTCCTATTGTTCTTATTTTTTAATTTTTAAAAAAATTCCTAGAGTTTTGTATTTTTTTTCCCTATTTTCTCCATTTGTTTTCAACATATTTGTATTTTCCTTATTTTTTATTAATTTTCTTACCATTGCACTAGGCCACTTCAAATTCAACCGGTCCGACCAAATTCTTGCCTCCACCAATTCTATAGCCGGTCCGGTCCTGACAACATTGTGAAATATATTTTAAAAGAAGCTCCTACACCCTCGAAGCAAAACAACACTGTAACAGTAGGTGATGAAATATTTCTTCAATATCCCAACACATACAGCAAATATTGGGGAATTGAAGACCCTGTTGGTGGAAATGATTATAATTAAATCAATAAATATTTAGGCATACAATAAAGGTATAATATCTTGACAAGATAAAATATATTTATTATTATTAGAATAGTAACTATTCATTAAAAAGAATTAATGATATGCAAATTACAACATTTGTTACTGGGAATGGACTATCAAGAGGAGCTATGGACAGTTTCACTTATCAATCAATAAAACCATTAAAGAACTTGGATATATAACATTACAAAGGTCACCTCTAGATAAAGTTAACCACAAATAACTCTGAAAGAGATTTCTTCAGTTGCAACTAGAGATCCAGTTCATAATGTTGATCATTATCAACAGCCGATGATCATAATCTTACCAATTATAAAGGAAATAATCATTTTTAACGCTCCAAACATCTGCCAGTGTACATTGTTCACTTCCATTTCTGCCATTGATGATTAGAATTCAACCAACCCTAATTGTGCTTGGTGTGCTAATATATATATATATTTTAAATGGTAAGCTACTATATAATTTTACATATGGTAAGGAAATCATATTAAAACATCACAACAAAGAACCATGATAACTTGATCTACTATAATGACCTCAACAACGGTCACTTCAATCAAAATCACAATCTCTGCCATATTAACAAGAACACTACCCATTTCTTTCCTTGATCTATATATCCTTATAGAACCAGAGCACTAAACATGTAGTCTGCACCCAATACAAAACTCTATCCAGCCCTGAACTATGGACTTTTTTGTTCATATATGTACATGCCAAGTACGATACTTAAAAAATACCATTCTATGCAGCACAACCTCCATCCATTTGGATGAGAAGAGAAAGGAACTCGAATTGGAATCTCAATCAAGAACATCTTTTGTTGACTTCGCCTCAATTGAGAACATCAATAAGAGTTAAAAAAAAAGAAAAAAGAAACAGAGAGCCTTTCGTGTTTAATGTACTCACTGAAACTGCTTGTTTACAAATCCCTCAGAAACCGAATAATAATTCTCCCTTTCCATTGGAACAACAAGGTCGTTAATTACTAAACTAGTTGGAAGAATTAAGACATGGATTTCCAATCAGAGGTTCATTCAATCATGAGAAGAAACCAGATATTAAAAGACAACTTCAATGAAATTCGAGCAAATGAAAAGTTACATTTTGATTCAAACTGAAAAAATATCAAATACTACAAATTCAAAGCTTTTGCCTTCATCTTCTACGTGTACATTGCATCATGAGAAAATCCGCGCATAAATCTAAAAACTAATAATTTTCCATCACTCCTGCTAACTATTTCACATTATCCACCTTCATTTTTCAACCACCCACACAGGGCGACACCCTAATCCTACTGATAAAAATAAAAAACATCAACATTACCGATCATCAAGACATAAAGAGAAAGAACTGAACAGAGCGAGAGGGAAACCAGTTAGATCGTCAAGAGAGATAAAGATAGAAAGAGATAGAGAGAGAGGAGTACCACTTAGCCCAGATCTTGACAGGAACGAATCAATCAATTGGTCTTGGAATCAGGCATGGGAAAAAGGCCAGTACTGGGTGCTCCACGAGGTGGGGCGAACCCTAAAATCTTCTGTAAATTGGTCCTAATACTCATCGAGCAAAGGAAGTAAAGAAACACCATTGAACAATCAGTGGGGTCATCACCAGGTAAACCCCTATGGCTCATCTTTTGCACAAAACCAGACGGTGAAAAGGGCAATTTGGCCACTGGCTTCCCCTCAAAGAGAGAATTCAATAGCCCAAAAACAATGATAAGAACCAATGCCACAACCCCACCAGACTTAAATTTAGAGAGAGAAAGGTCTCTACTCGATTCCTTGAGAGAGGTTTCAAATCGATCGATCTTTTTGGACTTGGGCTTCTTTGCAGAGGTGGTTTTCATGGTCTCGAGCTTCTTCGAAGCCTTGTCAATGGAAAGGCGAAGGGATCTGTAATTTGAGGTACGATAGATGAGGATCCATGAGATGCCTTCACATAAGAAGGCAGAGGCTATGGAGATGCCTAAAACAACCAGACTGTCTGCGTATCTTGGGGAAGCCATGGCCACTTTAGAGAGAGAAACAGCAAGGACTGATCTCGTAATGAACTTTCTTTCTCTAGGGCTAAACTCGCGTACATACCCTGTGCTCCTCTCTCTCTCTCTCTCTCTCTCTTTAGGAACGCAAGCTTAAATACACTACCATCTCTGCCTCTGAGAATTATCTTCTCTCATTACTATTTCTTATGGCTACAGAAATGTATGGTCTCAAGCGTTTATCACCGTTCAATTAATGAATCAGAAATTACCAGAGAGTAGCAATTCCCACTTAGGAAGAATTTTTCAATCTCAAATTTTTGGAATCACCTAGTAATCATCAAGCTCCATCCCTACTACTGAACTACCCCCCACCCAACAAAAAAAGAAAAAAGAAGGTATATGAGTATGTTTTCAAAATAAAAAAATTGGCTTATGACATCTCTAACATTTAGTTCTCACCTTCCCAAAATTAGGTAATCTCTGTTCAATCGTGATGTTTAGAGAGTGCAATTTGGAAAAAAAATAAAAAAATCATTGCCCACCATTCTATGAGTTGAAGATGTTACGTCGCCCAAGTTTTAAGGTATTAGAAGTGCTTCATTAAAAGTGCTTCTAGATTGTACTCAAGGGAGTAAATAGGCAAATATACTTCGACGGGAGTATTAAATCTTTTAGCATATAATATATACTTGTCTAGGTCATCAACAAGGTGAAAAAAAGTATTTGGATTATTTCAAAATCTACTTTCATATCTAATTATAAGGTTTTAGGTTAAAATCAAGTAGATCTATAAACATATGAAAATCTTAAAAATGGACGGTTTAGATAATGTATTGTAAGATACATTATTTTTTAAACTAAAAATCATTTTCTTTTCTTTGTTTTATATTCAAACATCTCGATGTCGAGATGACCAATTAGACGTTTTTCAACAGCAAACAACTTTTTCCGATTGATTTTTGAGGTGCATATGTAACTCTATATTTTAAGGTTGCAACGTTACAAAAACTTTTTCCTTGATTTATTGATAGTTTTAGATATATTTTTTTGAAATATTTTCAAATAGAAATAACCTTATTTTCTGCAAATAAATGTTGCAATGGTATACCACTCATTTTATTTGGAATCTATTTTATTTGAACGATGCTTAAACTATGTAATGTTTTATTTACCTTTACTCCTACATGGGAGGATTTTTTAAATATAAAATTTTCGAAATCACTTAGAATCAACTAGATGATTATTCTAAAAAAATAAAAAATTGATAATTTTCTAACACTTGGATCTCACCTTTCAAAAATTGGACAATTTCTATTCAATCTTGAGACTTTATTTTTTTCGTGCTTAGAGGGTGCAATTAGGATTTCTTTTATTGTGGCTAATCTATATATTAGAAAGGTTATAGCCCCAAAAGTTGGGATCCTAAAACTATCCTAGGTGAAGTTTTAACCAAAAGAGTAAATGGATAGTATAGGTACTTTAAATCAATTTAATTTTTACAAATAATTTTTTAATATTTTTATTGAATATATCTTTGTAAGAAGAGTGGACACTCTCAATTTCAAATGATTTGAAGTTAGAAAAATAGTAACGTTCAAATAAAAAATAAAACCATGACCATTAGATCGACTTAATTTCAATCTCGACTATTGAACTTATACTATTTCATCAATTCCATAATCTTTTCCCCCCTCGTATGGAGTGATTTTCTTGCAAGTGCTCTCTCTCTTTACGTTGGGTGCCAAGCATAAGAGTAAGTTTGTACCCCCATTGTATGGAGGGATTTGCTCTCTCTCTTTAGGTTGGGTGCCAACCCAAAGAGTAAGTTGTACCCTATATAGGTGCTCTCTCTCTCTTTAGGTTGGGTGTCAACCAAAAGAGTAAGTTGCACCCTATGTGATTCTTTATTTTACTTTTAACTTCCTTGAGAGACCCTAAACTTTTCCATCAAGACTACGTGAAGTGTCAATTGGCATAAAAACAATGCCCCAAAAGCACCCCACGTAAAAGGTAACTTGAATCACATCGTTTACTTTAATTAGTTGTTCTCAATACATACACACACAAAGAGAGACCCCCCCCCCCTCCCCCGAAATCCGGGGACATGTAACTGAAAGATGGAAAATTATCTCCAAGCAAAATGAAAGATCCAAACCAACAACTACGATTTGATAATACATCAATACTTACATTTCATGTTTGTATATATCCTCCGAAAATACATACACTTGCAACTCTCTAACTGGCAGCTCAGAACCCGAAGAATGAAAACCTGAAAGAAAATAAGAGCGAGCACTCGAAGAAGAGTAGAAAGTGGAAACCAAGTATCACAGGCTGGAGTAAAACAAAAAGACTTAAAATGTACAAATGCTAAATTGACCCAATAAAATACAAAGGCACATATCTATTTGCATGACCAGTAAAACTTCCTTTCATATGTATGCCTACTTGGCCTGAATATAGAAAAAAAAAAAAAAACAGTAAGTATCTCTACACCGAACAATGCTGTTACAGATGGGCCTAAAAAAAATTGCAACTATTTCCATATTGATAACTGTAACTGATGCTCCAAACCCATGCTGGATCCCAATAGATCTTGAGCAATGCACACGACGCACGCTAATCTGGCAAAACAAGGAAAAGGGCTGTGAAGTGTGCCAATGATAATGAGTTTGAACTCATTGTGCTGACAGCGACTCATCGAAATGGCTTGTTTTCATGTGCAGACGCACTACAGCAGAAGTGCAAATTGCAACATACTATTTGGATCAATGATCATTTGGAGTGATTTCCCGCTCCTCTTCTTTCCTTTGCGGGTAAGAGTTCCCCCGGATCAACTCCTCTCTGTACAAGAAGAAACAAATATATAACATTTGGTGGCCCCTCTAGCTGCAGTGCTCAAAGTGAAAAAGTTTTTTTTTTTTTTGAAGAGTTGCTCAAAGTGAAAAAGTTGAGAAGAGTAAACTAGCAGTTCAAGAATTTCAGGCACAACATTGGAAAGAGAGAAACAGAGAAATGATGGTCTACCATATGATATGCTAGGCCTCTACCAAACATTGTTTGTAAACACATATATTATTGGAAATCTCAGAAATATTTATAGCTAGAAAAAACATGTTTTCAACTGTTTTTTCTGCCTAGAACATTGCCAATCTAAGAACTTGGCCTATGCAATACTATTTATATTATTGGAAATCTCAGAAATATTTATAGCTAAAAAAAAGCATGTGTTTGACTGTTTTTTCTGCCTAGAACATTGCCAATCCAAGAACTTGGCCTATGCCATACTATTTTATGCACTGGCCCAATAAGGAACCAACCTAAAAATACCTAAAATGCCAAATCATTAGTCTCAAGGCCTTTTTTTCTTGGGATAGATTAAACAAAGCGTTATAAAATGATCTATTAAAGTGCCCCCCCAATCAAATGAAAACAAGACACCATGATTTTCTTCTTCTTCTTCTTCTTTTTTACTTCTTTTCTTTTTTTATTGTACTGTATCAATTGCAAGGACAATTCGTCATTCTTCAGGAATTTCGGAGAGGGGAGGTCCCTCTACCTGGTTTTTTCTTTCCTTATTCTTTCAAAATCCCTTCTCTCTCCATTTCTTTACAAAATAGTCGTCCTTTCCCATTCCATTTGAAATTTATTTACTTTTAATTTCGTTGAAACCTGAAAAGCTGATGCATCTTCCTAACCAATTCAACACCCAAACGCAATATATTAAGCAAAATCTACATCATAGGACAAGGCTGAATTGACAATCAAAGCTGATGGTCCCAGATATATTCCTATGATGTCATGGGAAACTAACCTTAAGCAATGCCCAATTAGATCATATGAAAGAAGAGCTACAACTCTTCGCCGCCTCTCTTTCCTCAACTCTGAACCACGCCTAACAACTGGTAGCTGATTGATTCCTCTTGCCTCCATGAGTTCCCTTGCAGTCAACAACTCCATGTCTGGATAACAAACCAGAAGACCACGCTCACTCCCTCGATAGCGTATCCTCCGAGTACAGGCAGAGGACACAGGGCTGGCACTCACCTGATATGATATGTCAGAACCAAATGAAAAAGGAAAGATAAAAAAAGAAAAAAAAATACAGAAACAAACCAGTTTTCTGGCTGTCCAACAAGTGTGCGCACGTGCACATGCACACGCACACGCACACGCACACGCACACGCACACGCACACACACACACACACACACAGAGTACAGATTTCCTTTAGTAGTAAGATGGCTAAAAGGTTGAAAATACGAAATTCCAAATAAATTTAGGGTTTTTATTCTCATAATAAGAGGAGCCTTATGTTAGTGAGAAAATGGAGAATTCCTAACACATACATACATTCAGAATTGTCAAATCATCCCTAGGAGCATCATCAGATCTCTGGGATATGAATCGTCTGATGTCACCATGCGTGATAATTCCCTCAAGAAGATCATCAGCATCAACCACAAGGGCACATCTTTGTTGGCTATCTAGCATTAGCTGTAGTACCTCTTTCACTGTAATTGTTGGCAATACTCTGATGAAGTTCTTTGACATTGCTTGAGATACCTGAAAACAATCACCTTCATTGATAAAGGATAGTTCTTTACAAACCCCATGATTCAAAAAAAAAGAGGAGCACTAAAGAGAAGACAACCCATAACCTTGAAATTTTCAATCAGGGAAAATAACTGATACAAGAATGTACTTCAAATAGGAAAAACAATATCACAAAATTCTGAAGTTATTTCAGAGCTAAATAGCAGAAGAATGCAACCAACCTTGAGATCCTCCAAAAGTATCTCTTCAATTAACATTTGATTGTCAGCCCCATTTTCTACAATAGAGAGTTCTACATCATTTCCGCTATGGTTTTGGTCTTCAACAGGTGAAACAGAAGCATAACCCCGACGGGGCGCCCGTGCTTCAGAAGACTCGGTCTCCTTTGGCTGGTTGGCTACAGATGGTACCCATATCGCTAACCCAACAGCTCCCTGTTTAAAACTATATTTAACATATGAAATTGATTGAAAAAATTCCCTTAGCGATAATTTTTATGTTCTTTTGACAAGTTCAGCTAGAGATGAAAACAGAAAGCAAGTCATCGACATGCAAGCTTACCATGAGTGGGAGCAATATCCTATAATCCTTAGTCAGCTCAAACAGCAGCAACACTGATGTCAAGGGAACAGAACATACTGATGCCAATGTTGCAGCCATCCCAACCTGTAAAGACATTTTGGATAACTCAATCACACCATCTATTAAAAAATTGAGAATTAAAATAAAACACAAAAAGGAACCAAAAGAAAGGAATAGGTAAATATGATTTTAATTTTCGATCCTTTTATGTATAGCAAAATCTAATTGAGTTTGAAAGGAAAAAGCCAACCAGTGCATAGGCCTGTGGCTGAGCAACAGCTGCATTTCCTGGTATTGCTGAATTGATAACCTCAGCTGCTGAACCACCAAAAACAGCCCCAACTGCTGCCCCTATCATCAAGCTCGGAGCATAGAGACCACCCACAAGCCCAGATCCCTTGCAGAGAGCAGTTGCCACGACTTTAGCACCTGCCAATTGAGCCAATAACCATATTCCAGGTGCCGAAGCACTCTTCCCAGTACGCAAGATTTCTTCAACATTTGTGAAACCCCAATAGAGTATTCCAGGGTACCTCAGAGCTATCATACCAGCTCCCAAACCACCTAAAGCAGGACACATAACTGGAGGTATCCCAAATTGATCCTTGATGATGTCAAACCCCTTTGTAAACCAGGTCACCAGTCGGGTAAAAGCAACACTAACCACTCCACAAAGCATGCCTAGAATGAGGTACAATGGCAGTTCTGTGCATTGATGTTTCAACGTGTAAGTATCAAGGGGTCCAAAAAAGTCAGTATCAGTCTTTCATTAGTACAAATAAATTGGTGCAATACGAACCAACCGATACAAGCAGATACAAATATAAAGCATTAATCATCAAGTCAAGAATACTTTTGTAGTTTCAGGTTCTGCTTTCTACATTTTTCTTTAAACTTCCATCAACTTTACAAACATAAACCCAGGGACATATACCATTAACAAGCTGCTTGAAAGCAAATGCAAAAAAAATGTTTGCAGTCTAGACCCCACAGGTTAAAATAATAGACAATAACTCTTTCCATGAAGTCAAAATGAACCTAAATCCACTTTATGCCAATCCACTCCCCAGAAGCATCACCATAACAAGCAAGCAATTTGTCAATTAAGAGCTTGCACAGTCACCCAGAGTAATTTAAGAGACCAATGTCTGACAAATAAATTAGAAGAGCCACAACGGAATATGCAAAATCTTAAACTGCACAACATGCAAGCACAGTCTCTACAGCATTAACCTCAGACCATAAACCGATTTGTCTCAGATATAGAATAAGATAAAATACCAGCAGCAGATTTCAGTTCATACGTGGGCACCGTAAAAGCTGGCCTTTCTCCAAGCAAAACATTTGACACAGTTGATGATATAACAGATGCCAATATAATCATTGCAGTTGTAAAGGGAGGTGAATTCTCTGCACGGAGGGGCCTTAGTACAGTCTCTATGGCAAAGAAACAACCAGCCACAGCAGCATTGAACCCTACAAATTCAAATGCAAATTTTAGTAATGACAAAGACAATGAGGGGAAAAAAGCAACACAACCAAGAGCATGATTACCATTGCAATTCAAAAAAGAAAAATAAACGGAAAACATATGTGCAGCCATGTTCAAAGATTAACTCAAATTGGGTCAAGTAGATCTCAAAGGAATGAAATCACTCTATCATAAGGATAAAATTTCAAGTTGGGAGGAGGAATACTGGTGGAGAATAGTCGGTGAAAGCTTGGACACAGGGTTGCACACTTCGTCATTTGGTGGAGGAAGGCATAGGGGTAAAACGTGGATCACAATAAACCATGTTCCAAGGGGAAGGCTTGGAATCACGTGGATAGAATGATGTGGCCATTTCATCTGTAATAGTCAGAACGTGCTTGAATGGGTGTGAAATGCATAGATATGGAGTTGGTCCTAATGGAATGAGTGCCAATAATGTAATCAACAATTTAGGAGCAGACTAAAATGATTTTACAGATGGCCCATAATGCTCCATCTTGAATGGTTCCTCCAATGTTTGAGAGTTGGGGAGTTACTGAGAAGCATTGTTTCCCCTTATCATGGAGCTTTTGTTAAGAGTAGACAACACTTTGTCGGTTTTCTTATCGCTCATTAATGTATCTCTTAAATTTAACTTTCAATAGACAAAAATGTGTATACTCAAGATCTAAGGAATGAAGGATTGGCTGGGGAAATTATGTCTTAGGCAAACAAGAAACAGACACATACCCTCCTCAAAACAGGATTTTTTTTTTTTTTTTTGAGAATGTTAATCATGAAAATGGAGCTGGTGTATTGTAAAATTCAACCATATAGCAATATGAATGTTATGAGAGAGTACTGTTTACAAAAACAATGACTATAGCTAGCCACGTTAAAACCATACATCACAGAACATGAATATGGTAGAGATTGGGAATTGGTTGGCTCACCAGAAGCAATTCCTGCAGCTGCACCAGCTGCAGTAAGAGCTATTCTCCTCTCGTTGTTGTTCTCCATCATTTCGGAACACCCATTTGCACATGATTTGCCAATATCCACACTAGGTCCCTCAGGACCTAGACAACAACCAGTACCTAGAGTCACTGCAGCTTGAATAGCTTTGATTGTAGGGACAACTCCTCCAAGCAAATCAAAGCTTCGCCTCTGAGAAGGCCGGGACTGCTTTATTTGGTCAATGGTCTCCAGTAAACCATGCATCATCCCAACTACAACTCCACCGGTCACTGGTATTAACATGATCCTATGCCATGTATCGGCTAGTCTCTGTTGGCGAAACCAAGCAGCACCCTCATTAGGAGTACCTGCCCAGGCCCACTCATGTATTATATGCACCTAAATGGAACAATGCTTACAAATCAGAAGGTGCCGAGGATTTGCATAAAAATGAATGGGTATGATAGGGAGTAAATTGCTGGCATTAGCATCTATATATCAGAAACTATGTTCAAAGTGTATTAAAAAGAAACATGAAAAGCAATGAATAGATAAGGGAAAAGGACTATATTGTTCATGCCAATCAAATATATCTAACATAAATTCACTATTAACCTACTTATCAAAAAAGAAATCCATGAATAAACTAATCAATGCATCTTTGATGAGACTTAAATAATGTTAACACTCATTTTGACAATTCCGGACAGCCACTGAAACTTTGCAGAACTTTAAACTCTTGAAGGGCCCCACCTTAAGGAAAAAAATTTGTCCCACAAGACATGAAAAAAAATATTTAAATCCTGAAGAAGTGGGAAGTGATATAACAGGTATATGTCTTGTACATAAGAAATAGTAAAGCAAACAATCCTATTGATGATCCTAAAAAATTATAATTTGTATATAATGACTCCAATTTATAATTGTACTGTAACCTAAGATCAGCCCTCATAATTTCGCCCATAAAGTCAGAACCCTACCTTTTACACACCATTAACTTCAAAACCCTTGAACTAGTCGATGGAGATTCTCTAAAATTAGTTTAAAGCTGTTCTATACCCATTTCCTATTCACGCAAACAGTATGCCCATATCTTCTCTGTGAGATGTATGCTAGTCTTAAGTTCAGCAGCAATCAATTTTATTTTGGCTGATTTTGTTTGAGGACAATTTTCAATCCAGTTCAGATTCAAAATCTCATCTCCCAAGCACTAAAGCAATTCTTAGATTGCATGTTAATTTACACAGGTTTGCTGATTTAGTTTTGTGAATGCCCTACTGGAATTGTAGCAATTTAGCCCTATTCGAATTTAAATTATTCTCTAAATGTGCTTTAGGGTCTTGTGATCATGGCAGATGGCTGATCTTAGGTTACATCAATTTGGTCTCGGAACAAGTTCCATACTTGGGCTAGACTATTATTGAGTTGATTAGGATCTTTCCTGGAGTTTTAAGGTGTCAATTAGGCCTTTAAGGTGTTGTCCCTTTGCATTTATGTACCTTAGGTGATACAGTGTTCCTTAGTATTTAAGGTGGTCTTAAAGTCAATAGAGAATAATTGGGATCTTTTGGTTGCTGCCCTAGAGCTTACAATTCAGGCAAGTTGTCCAATTAGCCATCCAGAGGGTAGGAAATGTCCCTCTTTTTTTTTCCCTTTATTTTTTTTAATAAGGTTACATAGGAATGGAACTTGAGACGTTGGGCTATGAAAACGTCTGGTGACTGTGTTTGTAGAGATAATACATATTAGAAACAAAGATTGCTTCAAAGATTGAAAAAAACAGGATAGGAACTTTTGATTTCTTCCCAAACGGAAAAGTATAGAAGCCGATAGTTTTTAAGATTTAAAGTGGTCTCAAAATAAGTGTTTTGGCACCAAAGATCGTGGAATTGAGCCAAGTTTGATTGGGTTTTGAAAGCTTAGCGTATTTCAAATATAGATTTATGGTTTGGCGATATTCATGAATATTGGGTTTTGATTTGTTTATTTTCAATTTTTGTTTTTTTTTTTTTTTGGTCTTTTCTTTTGAGTTTGACTTTTTTTGGGGGGGCCTTATTCAAGATTGTGTTAAGTTTGATGACATTCGATTAAGATTGGCTTTAAATTTTGTGTTTTTTTCCCCTAATTTCAATGCCCGTTTCATTTTTATGATATCTTCTTGATATTACTTAATATTTTTTTGGGTTAGGGTTATTCAGTACAAAATAGAATCAATGCTTGAGATCAAGTCATTGAGTCCTTCTTGATTTCTTAAATAAGTAATTAGTTACTACGTTAATACTTGAGATTTGTAAACAATTAAAAATTGTTTAGCTTGGGTTATTCACTTGATTTTGAGTTTCTTGACCACATTTTCTAAAATTGTGTTACTTTATTCAATATTTCAATTTAATTTGTTGCATTATAAATTACATGTACTCAAGATTGGGTTTTGGTGGTTTTGTGCATTTTTCGGATTTATTTGAGTAGGTGATAGTATCTTCCTCAAGTACAAATAGACAAGTTGGTCCAGGTTAGGAATAGGGGTCATGTCCCAACCCAAATGACAAAAATAGGGTGGAGTGCAGTTTTTTGCCATAAGAATTGCAATGCTGGAATTAATAGATTAAAGAAGAATTTGGGCAGCATTAGATGTGATGTAACCCCATGCACACAAGTGCCTGCTGAAGTTAAGAGAGAGATGTTGGACCATTTGCAGGCAGGCCAAAAGAAGGAAGAAGATATAAAGAGAAAACAAAGACGGTGGATCTATTCAAAGAAGGGCGAACTAACACGAAGAGGAGCTCTAAGAAAGAGGATAGGGATCAAGTTTCTCAATATGAAGACCATTGGTGTTCTCAAGCAGACATTTCTTTCAACGACGCAAGCTTGAAGAGCTTCAGCTGTGATAGAAGCAGTGGGTCAGTCAGTTTAGGCCACGGTACAGGGCCCCTACACTTCATAAGCTTTGGGAGCTTCTACCTAAAAAAAAAGAGGTGGAGCTCACCAATCAGTAGACTTGAATACCGACAAGGATGTGTGGGGGAAGTATGGGGTCACTAGATGACTGACACTTAGACCGATAGGAGAGGGAGAGGAGAAGCACTATGAACTTTATGGCAAATTGTTTAATGCTGGTAATGTTTTTGAGGTCAATTGATGCGTCTGAAAAATACATGATGTGGAGTTCATTTTTAAGTTTGTAGATCAGTGTGTGAAGCAAGTGGTGGAGAAATATGTCATTCAAATTTTTACTAATATGGCTAAAGCCAATACAATGTTTGCTAACACGATGTCGTTGAAAAGGCCGCACATTTTTTGGACACCTTGTGTGGTGAATTGTATTGAGCTCATGCTTGAGGCGATAAGCAAGATAAGTGGGGTGCAAACAACAATGAAGAAAGTAAGAGCACTCACAATGCGTTGTCATACCTATGTCTCGGCCATGATGAGGAGGTTTGCTGAAAGGGACTTGGTGAGGTCAGGGGTTACAAGATTTTTTAAAGCTGTCTAGGGTTACAAGATTTGCAACCTCAAATTTGATATTGCACTGTATGTTTGGCCCTAAAAGTGAAGCTCTGAAGCATGTTTTTATCTGAAGATGGAAATAAAAGCAAGTAGATCAAGCATCCAAAGGGGAAGATAGTAGCACTCATTGTTTTGCAGCCCCAATTTTTACGCCTCACAGATCTCAAACCATCGGTGAAGGTATTGTTGCATTTGGTGGATAGTGAGAAGGAACCACCAATGGGTCATATTTACCATGTAATAGAGGTTACCAGGGAAGACATTAAAAGAGACTTTGGAAACAATGAAAATAAAACTATATCTGGTCTCTAAGAATTGTGGAAAACGAATGGAATACCCATCTGCAAAGGTATTTGCATGTGGCAGGGTATTATCTCAAACCTGCTTTTCTATAGTGATCTTCAGATTGAGCCTGAGCATTAGCTCAGGGATATAATCAACTTGTGCCACATAAAACTCAACCCTGATAGAGATGTCCTAGAGCAAGTGATACTCCAACTAGTTAAGTATAGATTCTCATTGGACTCATTTCACAAGGACCTAGCGATAAGGCAGACAACCAAATATCCAGGTTAGTACAAAAGTTACTTTTTTATTGGATTTTTTTGTGTTTTGAATACTTACTTGATTTCTAATACTTACTTGATTTCTAACTTCACTTTGAAATAGATTTATATACTTTGATTATTTTTTATGTAATTGAGCCACAAGGTGCAACTCACATCAGAGTAGCGCAAGGCACTTGCAAAAGATGGCCCATGCATTTTAAATTTAACTTGTAGCTCCTCTGGTTGCAAGAAGAATTTCAGCACATTCGAGATGGTAATTTCTTAACCCACACAGTGACACATTGTTCATTTGTTATAGTCTCATGATACCTCATAGGCCGTATTACGGCAGCCATAAGCCCCCAATTTGTAGCATATTTGTGATTTTTCAAGGTCCAATCATGCATTCATACATTATCCAACAGGTAAATACCAAAAGGCAAACATGCTTGAGCAGAAGAGATTGAACGAACTTGTGTAAGTTTGTATAATCAGAGGCTGAAGGAGCACCACCTAGAGCACAGTCTAACTGACCCCGTCTCTGTAAGATACATGGATGAATTTAGTGAGAGGTCGGTCGATGCTGGAGATGAAGAAGTTCTCCGTGGAGATATCTTGACATGGAAACAAGTTTGTGAAGATGTTGCATGCGCAAAGAACTTGAATCAGGAGGAGGAGGATGAAGAGAGAAAAGGAGGAGCATAAGGAGTAAGTAGCGGACTTGGAGGAGACCATGGAAGAAGAACAATATGTCGAGAAGGGGGAGACTTTGATGATGATGGTTAGGCATCATCATCATCATATTCAGATGCAGCAGGTGCTGGTAATGGAAATGGAGGTGGTGGTGGTCCTAGAGCTACTGGTGGCGGTGATAACTTAATGATTTCTCGTGAACTTCTGCTCCTTTGAGTTCAATTTGAGTTAGACTTTGTGAGGTTTGAGTTGTGAGTCGTGTCTTTTCTTCTGTATATGACTATGGCAACATTGGCATGTAATGAGAGAATGTTTATATAATGGGTGCGCTTTGTATAGAGCCTAGGCTCTAAACAATCAAATTAGAGCCTATCTTTAAATATTGTCGAGAAATGTGGTTTCAATACTGGAAATATTTGATATAGCCTTAAAATATATTTTCATCTTTATTTATAAAGTTTAAAGCTTAAAATATAGTGTTGATCGACAGATCTATGAAAACTTGAAAATCTTAAAAATTGACGGTCCAAAATGCGTTACAAAATACACTATTCCCAAATTTGAATAGTGTCCATGGATGTTGAAGTCGAAAATTTGACGGTCCAAAATGCGTTACGAAATCTATTTTGTTCATATGTCCATGGATGTTGAAGTCGAGATGATCAATTTGAAGATATTTGGGCACAGTGATTCAAAAAGCGGACCGTCTAGCTCCTAGGCGGCCGCTTAGGCGATCTAGAAGGCCTGGGCGCATCGCCCAGGCCTAGACGGCCGATCTGGGTGGCCGCCTAGGCGGTACAGAACCCACCTAGGTAGGCGCCCAGCGCCAAGCCTAGGGCCTACACCCCTCCTAGGCGGCCGTCCCTCCTAGAGGCAGAGATTTTTTTTTTCAAAGTTGACAAAATTTGATCAACATATCACTCATTGATATTATATTTATTTTTTGATGTTTTATAAATCTATTGGGGGGTTTTTTAGAAGATTTTGAGTCCTTAGAAGCATCTTTGATTGCGCATCTTTTTTGGATTCAACTGGGCTGCCCAGGTTCTGGGCGCCCGCCTAGGCGCTGGGCGGCCTTTATCCCCCAGGCTGCCTAAGACCCACCTAGTGCTTTTGGAACTATGTTTGGGCATCAAAACAACCTCTTCTAGTAAAATTTTTGAGGTAGGCTCTTACTTGATTATTTAGAACCGCGGCTCTATATAAAATTTTTCCTTATATAATTATTTAGATCCACATTTCATTCAATATTGCCCATCAAGTTTGAGCAAGTTTCAATCTTCTAAATTTTAGCAATTCCATTCAAGTGTCAACAAACTCATGTATGAATGTGATTAGTTAAAACTAGGTTATTTTCAAAATACTTGATGCTTAAGTTCAATTAAGGGGTTTTGGTAACCAACCCAAACCCGCAAACAACCTCCTAGAGGGGCCAAACCCTCCTCTTCTACATTTGGACCACGCAACTGTAAAATATTGGATGCAACTCTTGAAGATCATTCAGGTGCTTCTGGAAGCCTCAGTTTGATTCTTAAGCACAAGGATGGTGCCCTTGAGAGGAAAAATATTATATCCTTTGGAAGCACTTCCAGAAATTATTTCTGGGGAATGTATTAGGAGATAAACAATAGAGTTTCATGGGCCAAGATCAAGAAGTCTAGAGGTGGAAATGAACATTAGTTGACCTTAATTTTGTGGTCTCTAGGTACGGAAGAGTTCAAAGAGGCCAGGGAAGTGGACCTAATGAATGAGGATGGGACCCTCATGGGTAGAAAAGTTTCCTGTTGGAGGATTGAGAACAGGTGTAGGTGTCCTTATAAAGGGGTTTCAAGCTAAATGTGATACTAGAGTGCTTTGAGACCTTTTTCCAAATTGTAGCTGGGGCTGGTAAGGACCACTTAGGGGGAGTGACTTAAGGCATTGAGAAAGTCGGTTAGAGTTACAGATCCAATGAAAACAAAGAAGCGAAGGATCCCCTACGTGGTTTTGGAATTTTAATTTTGAACTTCTTTTCAAAGGGCCACTAGACTTCCTTACTACTTTTTGGGTAGTTCACCAGTTGGAGTCAATCTTGGGACTTAGTGCTACAATCAACAACAACTAACCAATCAAGCCAAAGCCCAATTCCTGATGCTCCATTAGATTGCAATCACTTAAAAAAATAAAAAATTGCAACAATAATCCAAAATTCACAAGAATACAGAAGAATGCAGGTCTCGACAAGACATCTTGCTGTCTAGAGAATCTCATACAATAAGGAAGAGTATCCAACTCCATTCTCAGCCAAAAAAATTCATTACATTTGTTCATTTAGCATAGACTAAAGAAAAAACAAACACTCACAAAACCCAAAAGCCTATCCGAAAATGGTAACAAGTCTTACATGCTATGGAAACACAGTAAAGTAGAACAAGATATGAGTTCCATACAAAGTGTCAACTACCTGATAATCCCATAATCCGTCCATATGGATCATCGAAACCCAATCTATCCCAATAACCAAACCTACAATCTCACATCACAATTCTTTCCTTTTGATGAACCCTAACACCAGCAATTCTACCACCATAAAAGACAGGAAACCATAAGATTATACTACCCAAAGTTTCAGTTCAACAAGATACGAAAAAAAAAAGGCCAGTAAATACTATTATAAATCCTAATTAAATCAAGCACAAAAAATCCTCAAACCAGAGAATTTAGACAACAACAATATAAGGCTCTTGGATCGAAAGGAACATATACCCCACGATTAAAGGCGGCCACACAGAGACCAGTAGCAAGCCCTAAAAGGCATCCAATTAGCAAAAGAGCCCATTCAGGAGGAGCTCCATCTCCAAGCATATCCGGATTTTCATGAGGAGGACAACGATGAGAATTCTCTCTTTCCAAATGCTTCCTGCTAAGTATTCTGCCCGATAGCCGTCGATCAAGTTGCTTCAACAAATCCCTAATCCCAACTTTCCTCCCATTCTGAGCTTCCAAATCTGACTCTGAATTTGCAGAATTGGACCGAAGAAGGAATCTGCGATCCCCAAACTCCGCTCCAGCCATTTCTCCCTCTCTTTTCCCCAATACTTCGCTTCAAAATCTCTATAAAAACTCGTAAAAAAATGGAATTTTCATTAAAGCTTTCAGATGGCATCAAATCACTGCAACTTAATGTTGGGTGGGATCAATTCGATCTTTGGTTGTCTTAACCAAAAATCAATGCAATTTTAAATAGAAAATTTGTGGCAAAAAACAAAAACTCCAAATTCATGGAAATGCTTATAGAAAAAAAAAGAAAAAAAATAATTCTCTTTTTTCCCCTTATTATGACGTGGGATCACTTTGCTCCCAGGAAATGGAGGAGACAAACGCAGGACATATTTTGCCCAAATTTCTAACCTCTTTCACACACATCGAAAATTTCGCACGTGTAAGTAAGTTTCGTGGAACCTACCTAACATTATAAAAATTCCTAACATTATAAAGGGTGCGGTATGTATAGGGCCTAGGCTCTAAACAATCAAATTAGAGCCTACCTTCAAATAGTATCGAGAAATACGGTTTCAAGATTGAAAATCTTTTTTATAGCCTTAAAATATATTTTCATATTTATTTATAAATTTTAAAGCTTCAAAAATAGTGTAGATTGACATATCCATGCAAACTTGGAAATCTTGAAAACTAACCGTCCAAAAATGCTTCACAAATACATTATTTCCAAAACTTGTGATCCATTTTTTTTCTCATATCCATGCATCTTGATGTCGAGATGATCAATTTGAAGATATTTGTCCATCAAAACAACCTCTTGTAGTGAATTTTTTGAGGTAGGCTCAAATTTGATTGTTTGGAGTAAGCTCAATATAAACTTTTCCCTTATAAAAAAGGGTGCGGTTGGTATAGGGCCTAGGCTCTAAACAATCAATTAGTGCCTACCTTCAAATAGTATCGAAAAATGTGGTTTCAATACTAGAAATTTTTGTGACAGCTTTAAAATATAGTTTCATCTTTAAGTTATAAAGCTTAAAGCTTCAAAAGTAGTGTAGCTAAATAGACCTATAAAAATTTAAAAATCTTGAAAATTGACAGTCCAAAAATCCTCTATAAATACACTATTTCCAATACTTGAAATCTATTTTTTTCTCATGTTCATGTATCTTGATGTGGAGATTATCAATTTGAGGATATTTCAGCATCAAAACAACATCTTCTAGTGAAAATTTTGAGGTATGCTCTTAATTGATTGTTTAGGGCCTCGGATTTATATAAACATTTCCCTTATAAAAATAATAAATAAGTATAAAAAGAACGGAAAAAGTTTATATAGTCTGGTCTGTTGTACAAGGATCACCCCTAAAATAGTGTCGAAAGATGTCTTTTATTATCGAAAATCGTTAGGATGATCTAAAATTTTATTTTAAAGATTTGCATAGCATGGGACGCTTTATCATTGTTATATAGAGGTCTCAATCACTTATAGCTATCAGATGTCAAATTAGATGGCTTGGTATGTGTCGTGAAGTTCGAAAAAATTTATTTTTAGCTTTGAGTTTAGTCAATGATATACTTTCAACCACCCGATTTAAAATCTAGAGGATAAAAATAATTGTGACGACCTTGTATTAAAAATAAAAAAAAGTATACAATGAGATCATTTATCTTTGGTTGTGGTTTCCATAAAGTTGCAACCTTAAACAGTCCATTTAAGGTGCACCTCTAAATTTTATCATAGCATATAATTTTGATGTGAAAATATTCTTAAGATTATCTCAAAATCTATTTTTATATATAATTATAAAATTTTAAACTAAAAAAATGATTAAAATCAAATAGATCTATAAACATATGAAAATCTTGAAAATGGATGGTCTAGATAATATGTTGTAAGATGCATCATTTATGGGACTCAAAATCGTTTCTTTTTTCATAGTCATACATTTCAACGTCGAGATGATTAATTAAAGGTTTTTCAATATATATATTTTTTTTGGACCAAAGTTATAATATTTTATTACTCAATTAGGCATCAATTACATCATTCAATAAAGAAATAAAATCCATAGAAACCCCCCTTTGCAAGTGCATTAGCCTCAAAGTTGCCCTCCCTATATATATGCTGAAAGAAAATAGAAAAAGAAACCGCCAAATCCATCACTTGACCCCAAAGTGATATGAGAGACCAAAAAACTCGTTGCTCATTTTTACACCACCTAATGACATTCAAGGAATCGCCTTCAACCAATATAAAGTTCCTCACATTCATATTTTTAATGAAACGTAGACCAAAGAGCGCTGAGGTAATCTCCGCACAATTGGCCGTAGCATGACCAATCAGGCCAGCATAAGCCAACAACAGATGTCTCTATGAATTCCTCACCACCTCACCAATACCTGTTTCACCCGGATTATCGAACAAGCTACCATCGAAGTTTAGTTTCAGACAACCACTGTGAGGGGAGCACCATTGCCCAATCACTCTAGATGAAACAATCTCAAATAAAGGGTTTTTCAATATTAAAACAACCTTTTCGATGGATTTTTGAGGTGTATCCGTAGTTCTACATTTTAAGGTTGCAACCTTTTATAAACTTTTCCCTTTATCTTTTATACAAGAAGGTCACAATTACTCTTAACTATTGGATATGAAATTCGGTGCTCAAAAGAAATTTGTTTGAACTTGGTGACACATTCAAGCTATCAGATTTCACATCAGATGGTTATAAGTAATTGTGTCATCTTTTATATAAAAGGTAAATGGTCTCATTGTATACAATCCCTCAAAGTAATTGTTTTATTTGTATACTTTTCCTTATTTTAATATCTAATTATAAAGTTTAAAGCTTAAAAATAATGTATATCAAGCATATCTATGAACACTTGAAACTCTTGAAAATTGACAATCTAAATAATGCATTACATGATGTATTATTTTCAAATTTTGAAGTCTATTTTTTTTTAAGTTCATGTATCTCAAGGCCAAGATGATTAGATTGGAAGGTTTTTTTGCATTGAAATAACTTTTTCTAGTGAATTTTTTAGGTGCTTGTTCAGGGTCTCAAGCTTATATAAATTTTTTCCTATATGGTCTTGAGCACCTACCCAATTTAGGTGGTCTAGCCCAAAAAATAGATTGTGAATCGAACTCTTAAAAAAGGGCCAGAATACAATAATATGGTTTATTTTTAGCACATGGAAGATCACAAATAATGTTGATCATTAGATGTCAAATCAGGTGGTTGGGTGTGTGATTGATTAGACACTATACTCAAAATAAAATTTCTTAACCTGTCAAATTTAACATTTGATCGCTAATAGTGATTTGTGACCTCCTAGCACTAAAATTGAAAATTGAATGGTCTTACAATATACGATCTCTTTCTAAAAAAAAGATAGAAATTTACATAAACATCTTAAATATTTTTAGAAATTACAAATAGTCTCAAATTTTCCATTTTTTATGTCAAGGTCCCACTTTTTGTCAAATTCTTGGCTTCGTTGCCGACAGCTCTTATCCTTCCAGGATTATATTATGCATTTATTCCCTCGAGTGAAACCCAATGCAAGGGTAATTTTAGGACCTTACTCATTAACCCACATAGCAACTTCAATAAAACAAAAAAAATCCCAATTGAAGCCATTGTATATTTAAAAAAAAAAAAAGGGAACTATCTTCATACTCCCTACTTTTATGTTTTATTTCACAATAGACTCAAGGTTTTAAAAGATATTTTGAAACATAAAAATTATATATTTTATTTCTTCTAACCCCCTGAATTAATTTAAACTTGTTTTTTAAGCCAAACAAATATAAAAAGACATAATTTTTCTGAAAGCCATCCTCCCAAACGTTTAGAGAGAGAAAGACTTCATTTAGGTGAGAGATTACGGGAGGAGAGAGAGATGCGTTTGGAGAAACACAAGAGAAGAGAGAGAGAGACATAAGAAGAGAAAATTTGAGAAAAGTTTGAGGTATATAAGTGAAGAGATAAATGATTGAGTTTAAAAATAGAACGTCTTTCATATATTTGTTTAGTTTAAAAAATATGTTTAAAGTGGCCAGGGGGTTAAAAGATATATTTTTCAACTTTGGGTTTATCAAAAAATAAAACTTAAAAATAAAGGATATGGAGATATTTTCTTTTAAAAAAACAATATCACATGATTGAACAAAGACCGTCCAATTTTGTAAGGTCGAGATCTAAGTGTCAAAAACTCCAATTTCAAAAAAATAATTTCTTTGAAAACAATCATCTAGTGATTTTTAGGTGGTTCTCAAAATTTTGAACAGAAAAAAGATCCTCCCAAAACAATTAAACAATCTTTTGAGTGAGGGATGAGTGAGGGAGCAGATGCACAAAGCTCCTGTGGGAGTCTACTATACATGTTATTCTTTGACACGCTTATGCGACTATTCTTTGTTTCCCTTAAATACCCTCGTATTTGTAACTCCAATTGACCCTACCAATGCCTTAAATTACTCCCCTACCCTCGTAAAAAATTGACCCTATCAATGCCTTGAATCACTCCCCTCAGCCCTTACCAGCCCCAGCTGGAATTGGAACTAGGAATTTCCATATCATGAATTTAGAACATGAAACTTTTAGTACTCGGCAATAAAAAATATTGTGTTTGGTTTAAGTATCTGGGATTCTAGGGATTTTGGAAAACTGTATTTTGTTTAACTTTAGATTTTGCAAACTTATAGAGATGAAAATTAGTCAATTTTAGCCGTTCATTGGAGTTTTCATCAATAAGAAGATGTTTTTTGTTAAATTAACTAGAATTTTAAAGCACAGCTCATCCACAATATGTCTGAACAAATACATGGTTTAGTTCACAAGAAATAATATTGTTTTTTATCATAAAAAGCACAAACATTTTAAAACAAATGTGACTGCATGTTTGTGAAACAATTGTCAATAGCTTTTCCAATTTTCTGGATCTATACAGTATGGTTACTTTGTTTATTGTGATTAACAATACATGTAATAATTTACTGTAAATCAGTGTGGTTACTCTGATTTGCATTTAATACGATATCTATTGTGATGTATTTTGATTACTGCGTAAATTATTATAGTTTACAATGATGCATTTTGAAATGAAAAAAAATTATATAAGGTTGACACCTTAAAATATATAATTAAAGTATACTTCAAAAATCCCTTGAAAATATTATTTTGATGTTGAAAAAATATCTAATTGATCATCTCAACATCGAGATATATGAATAGAGAGAAAATAAATATTTCGAGTCCCAAAAATAGGGCATCTTGCAACACATTATCTAAACCGTCCATTTTTAAAATTTGCATATATACGACCCACTTCTTTGTTAATCAATAAATGATTTTCGCATGCAGCCCAAAACTAAGGTTAATACTTGTTAAGGGAGCATTGCGAGGACAAACATAATGGCCCGATATGACCCAGGATTGGTGGATTGAGGAGGCGGTTATTGGACAGCCTACAATGGCCCGATTCCCACCCAATTTTACTTTCTACGATTATTTTCTCCGATTCGCTATCAATTTGCCTATTCGGATCAACCAGGAGGTGATTCGGTTAACCACCCGATGTCGTTTTAAGAACACAATGAAGGACCATTCCATGTTAAATGATCTTGTGAATGGCATTTTAGGACCCCATATACGTGATGGTATACTGAAAAAAAAAAAAAGGAGAGGAAAAGACCACCGCTTCCTTAGGATGGAAGCTAAAAATACTAAATTGCATATCCCTTGCAAAACAATAATCCACTTAAGGCATATGAATAAATATATGTAAGTTGAGCACAAAATATAGATCGTACATGTATACATTAGATTGTTAAATTTTTAATATGAGAATGTCACGATCACCTTTTGCAATAGAACGTAAAAACTCAACAAAACCTACCATTTAAATATGTACATGTATAGCACAACCCACCACTATATTTCATATCTAATAGTTAGAAACGATTGTGACCTCATTGTACCTAAGAGAAATAGCCTTTATATTTTACCCCATGATTTCGAGGGATAAATAAAATTAAAAATATATATATATGAGATGGCAGCCTTAATGTTGTTTTAATGTTGAAAAACCGTGTAATTGATCATCTCGACATCGAGATGTATAAATATGGAAAAAAAAAAAAATTTGAATTCCAAAAATAATGCATCTTGAAACATATTGTCTAAATTGTCCATTCTCTAAATGTTCGTAATGATTATAGATCTATATGATTTTGACTATTTTTTGAGTTTTGACATTTTATAATTAGATATGAAAATAGATTTTGTAATAATTCTAAAAAAAAATTTAACTAAGATAAAATTTGGAGGTGCGCCTTAATTGGAGGTTGCAACCTTATAGAAACCACACCCATTAAATTATTAGTGCAGGTAGAAAGTTGAACTGCACATGAAATTTGATCTCGTTTGACATACATTTCCAGTTCGATATTTATAAAAAGAAGTCCCAAAATGTGTGGCGATGATAAAAGTTGGAACAGTATAAACAGCTAATGTAGCTTTCGAACACTACATAGCATCCACATTACCAAAATATAACCTAAACTTCTTTTTTCCAAGTCAAATGCTAGATTTGTCTTGTTAGAACAAAATAGGAAAAGGATTTGGGCAGTAGAGAGAGAATCGTATCTCTCTCTTCTCGTGGAACCTATGTTACATAGACAAACATGTCTGTCATCATCGAATCAGAATATCAAAAAAGACCTTTTCAGATATGAACACATCATTTAAAGAAAGTAATGTAAGATTTTAAGTGGCATTTACTACTTTTATGTTATATTTTCAAGAAGAAATGTCTAGATTTATAACATATCTATCACACGACTGTGACTTTATCTTGGCGTGTCAAAATGTGCCAAGAGCCATAGACACGAGTCCTGTTACACGGCTTGGATCAATATATCCAAGTTCCACTTCGGACAATCGTCAGGGAAATTACAGCATATGGACTTTACGAGAGTAGACCTAAAAAAGCATCAAAAGCATGGAGGCACTGATATACATTCAAGTAAATATACATGATCTTTCTCGAGGTCCAGCGGGGGCAGATCAAACTTCTGGACTTTATAACCCATCGAACCATCACTTCTCTTTCAGCATTTTATACAATTAGGAGGCCATTCAGAAACAAAAATAAGAAATAAACCAAAACAAAGATAACAAAAAATACATAGGATTACCAAACAAGTATCAATAATTACCCCGATTTTACGTGCGTTGATCCTTGCACCACTTAAGAGAGAGAAACGAATGCAGCCGATCTTCTCAATATTCCGATATTCTAATTCTCCACTCAGGAAGGGGTGCTTCTTAAGACACAGTTCGCCCATAACATATTGAAGCTAGATAGAGATTCTTTGACCATTTCTCCTGGTCAACCATTTGTCAATCATCAATACATTTTCGATTGTGCAATAAGACACCCCAAAAAATACTAGAAACCAAATTTAATCAAGACCATCTCCACTCTCTCTCTCTCTCTGAGATACGCACATGGGAAGATGGTGTCATACCTTTACATGACTACTTGGGAATGCAGATGTCCGCAGAGTCTCCTGAGTTTCATCCCCTGGCTTGCGCTTGGGTACACTCAAGATGAGCGCAGCCTGATCAAAAGTGGCTGCTGTTGCTGTAATCCTATACCCGCTATCCCAACGTCTGTGAATTCCTTCACTAGGATACAGAAAATCCAGCTCAACAACCTGCAAAGGAAAAGGATAAATACCGTTCATTTCTTTAAGTTTGTCACAAGGCTCGTGACATGAAAGCACAGCTGCAACAACAAATGACGATACATGCCAAAACAAATCATACAGGATTTTCACAAGTACCTATATGTACGACAATCCAATCACTATTCTCATAGGGACTAGAGATTTCATATGCTCGAAGGCACCAAATAAATTGCATCTTTCATGAGAAATGTAGACATCCATCTCTCTCTCTCTCTCTCTCTCTCAATGCACAGTAATCGTGTAATATTGTGTTAGATGAAATGGTCGACGCACAATAAGCAATTATCATAGAATGTAAAATTGATTGTGGTGACTGCAAGGAACCAGGAAAACTGACCTGATCCGAAAAACCCGCATTACGTGACATGACAACTCCCCATCGACTTCCAGCAGTGGCCATGGAAGTCACATGAAATCCTTCCCTCCATTTCTTGTTTATCCATTTGAAGGGGAACGTATCACTAACTTTGTAAGATTGTTGAGTATACTGGGTTCCTGAAAACAATAGAGACAGCAATATCAGGCTCGAATTGAGAAATTCCTAAAATGAAAGGAGTTTGGCACGACAATAGGAGAAATAAGAGTAAATAGCCAACCTATAAGTGAGATACAAAATTAGAATGTAAAGCAAATATACAAATATACCATGAATATATTCTTCATCAGTTCATGCTTAACAAATAGAGCATTATCAAATAAGAGATCAAAACAAAGCATAGAACTGCAGAGTAAGAAAACAAGCATCAAACCATCCCCCCTTAGTTCAGGAACGTTATAAATCTTCCACATCTCAATGTTAAAGAAAGTTCCTTCGATTGAGCTCAGGTAGACACTTCCTAGCCAACAATTTCGAAGTTTGAACATCAACATACAAAGATAACAAAGCAGTTTTAATTTGAGTTCTTTTTGGCTTTTAAATGAAACCACCCAGGAATATTGGATATATATATATATATATATATATATATAAGAAGACACTACGACACGCTATAGAGAAGAAATAGAACAGTTGTTTCCGTACCAGTACGGTCTACTACTTCGTCCCGTAACCGTAAAACGTACGGGCGG